ACGTGCACCTCTCAGGCCCATAAAGTTTATCCCAGAGTTTATCCGCTATACATCCAAGGGAGGGCCGCGTTAGAGTCATAAGAGCGTCATAAAATTCATTTTTTACGGATATCAAATCAGTCAAATCAGGGAATTTTGCTGGTTTTAAAATGGATTTTTTACTCTGTTGGATAGTGATAGTTACTCATTTTGTCTGTTTATCCCTTTAAAAAAAGTTGGTGACTCTGCATGGTGAAATTTTATTAACCGTATTTAATCATTTAATTAGGCATCAAATAGCTAAACTCTATTTTAGAGCTAGTTTAGGTAAGTTTACTGTAGTATGTCCTATGACTGAGTATAATCAGTGAGCAAATCAATTAAGAACTTAAATTAAATCTGTCTCTCTCTGAGCCAGTAAAGGGAAAAAAGATGTAAAAACTTCAGTTTCTTTCACCTGTGAACTCATGAAGCAGATTTGATCTCCGATCAATTTAATTTTTACGTATACTTTACTGTTTTTTACTGTAGTTGGAGGTAGGTCTGACCCAGGCGTTTCATTATCGTCAAATCGGGGAATTCTAGTGGTTTTAAAATGGATTTTTACCATGTTGAATGGTGATAGTTACTCAGTTACTCCTTTTGTCTGTTTATCCCTTCAAAAAAAGTACATGAAAATATTATAATGAACCATATTTAATCATTTAATTAGGCATCACATACCTAAACTTTAATTTAGAGCTAGTTTAGGTAAGTTTCCTCTAGTATGTCCTAGGACCGATTGATCTCAAATCAATTTCATTTTTATGTATACTTTACTTTGTTTTAGTTCAGTTACAGACGCGCACATCTCAGGCCCATAAAGTTTATACTGGAGTTTATCCGCTATACATCCAAGGGAGGGCCGCGTTAGAGTCATAAGAGCGTCATAAAATTTTGTTTTTAAGGATATATTACTGTATTTTACTGCAGTTACAGTAGTGTAAAGGTTCATTTGACCCAGGGGTTTTATTAGCGTCAAATTAGGGAATTCTACTGGTTTTAAAATGGATTTTTACTCTGTTGAATGGTGATATTTACACAGTTACTCCTTTAGTCTGTTTATCCCTTTAAAAAAAAGGACAGGAAAATATTTTTTTTGCAGTTTTTTCCATTTATTTTGAGTAATAACAACCAGGATCAATCGTGTTGAACAGTGATAGTTACTCAGTAATTCCTTTTGTCTGTTCCTCCGTTTAAAAAAAGACACATAACTTAAATTAGGCATCACATACCTAATCTTTAATTTGGAGCTAGTTTAGGTAAGTTTCCTCTAGTATGTCCGATCAACGATTGATCTCCGATCAATTAAATTTTTATGTATACTTTACTGTATTTTACAGTAGTTGGAGGTAGGTCTGACCCAGGCGTTTCATTACCGTCAAATCGGGGAATTCTACTGGTTTTAAAGTGTATTTTTACTTTGTTGGATGGTGATATTTACTCAGTTACTCCTTTTGTCTGTTTATCCCTTTAAAAAAAGACTTGTCATAACTTGATTTAGGCATCACATTCCTAAACTTTATTTTAGAGCTAGTTTAGGTAAGTTTCCTCTAGTATGTGCTATGACATTAGGGAATTCTACTGGTGTGAATTTCATTTTAATTGTATTGGATGGTGATAGTGACTCAGTTATCATTTAAAAAAAGGACGGGAACATTTTTTTGTTAATTTTTTTCCATTCCTTTGGAGTAACAACAACCAGGATCAATTCTTTGTTCACAGAGAGTTGAGGTGACACTGTATGGTGAAATGTAATTAACCATATTTAATCATTTAATTAGGCATCACATACCTAAACTTTAATTTAGAGATAGTTTAGGTAAGTTTCCTCTAGTATGTCCGATCAACGATTGACCTCCGATCAATTTTATTTTTATGTATACTTTTTACTGTAGTTGGAGGTAGGTCTGACCCAGGCGTTTCATTACCGTCAAATCAGGGAATTTTACTGGTTTTAAAGTGTATTTTTACTGTATTGAATGGTGATAGTTACTCAGTAGACAGAAAGACAAAAGCTTTAAAAAAAGTACAGGAAAATATTTTTTTTGCAATTTTTTCCATTCATTTGGAGTAATAACAACCAGGATCAATCGTGTTGGATGGTGACTCAGTTACTCCTTTTGTTTGTTTATCCCTTTAAAAAAAGACTCAATGTCATAACTTAATTGAGGAATCACATACCTAAACTTTAATTTAAAGCTAGATTAGGTTAGTTTCCTCTACTATGTCCTAAGAGTGATTACAATCAGTGAAGAAATCATTGAAGAAATTAAAGTAAATCTGTCTCTCTGAGCCAGTAAAGGGAAAAAACACCCAATCTTTATCCATAAGCTCTTTTCTGTTTCTCCTGAATCAGATTTGATCTCCCATCACCAGATTTCTGGCCCAAACTCCCGATTATAATCTCAACACGGCTGATTTTATGGTTTTCTTCCTCTCGGTTCATGGGGGTAAATCAGATTGTGGCGTATTGCTTAACAGCCCAGTAAAGTTTATTTTGGAAATTTGTAAAGATTGCATATTAGGGAAAAACGAGAGTGAGATGTTTTAGGATCTGGGTCTAAAAATAAAGACTGTTGAAAACATTTAGAAACAAAGATAACTCTGTTCAGAGTCCTTTGAAACTTTTAGTTGTGTTTTCAGTGTAAATTTTTTGTCTTCTATTGAAACACTGAATGTTTTTCTTTCTGTTAAACAAGAGTTCAAGTGGAAATAGTTA